GGATGTGGGAGTCTCACGGGGCAGGTGTCGAGAGTCACATGTGACAGTGGGACCAGAAAGAGTAGAAATCTTGGGGAAGCTCGGGGACTGGGGCCTCAGCTGGCTTTGGGGTTCACCCAGTCCCTGAGCGTCTGCCCCGTGGGGACAGCCGTGCGCCTCACCTTTTCCCACCCAGCCCCAGGCCCTCCAGGAAGCACAGCGAGGCCCGGCCCCTGCCCATCTCGCGTCTCCTGTTTCTGACTTGACCAGGAGTGACTCTCCTGCGCCCTCTCTCCGAGGCCCCTCTGGTTCTCTGTCTTACAGGCCTGGACACTGAGGCCTCCGGGAGGGGAGTCGACGGCGCGTCCACACCCAGAGGACGGCATTGGGCTGTCGGCCTGAGCCGTCCAGCTCCAGCTGAAGCCCTCGGTCCCTTTCTAGATGGCGGTCCCTGTTGCCACTGCTGCTGCTCAGGGCTGCAGTGGTTCAGATTTGACACCCTGTGACCTCCATGTCCCTCGCTGGAAGGCAGGTAGTGCCTAGGCCAGAGTCTCCACGCGCCCCAGCGCCTGCCACCCCTGCGTTAACCAGGGACTTAGCCGCTCAAGAAAGGGAAGGTGACCTGAGCCTCGCTCCTCAAGGCAGCTGTCCTGAGTGCTCTGCCTTCCCATGATGCCCGTCCTGTGACCCTGTTGGTGGCAGGCCTCCAAGTCCTGGCCGGCAGCCTCCTTGTGGGAGGTGACACTGCGGCTTCTCAAGCTGCAGATGGCCAGCCACGTCCCCACAGCTCAGGGCTCAGGGCCGTCCAGCCACCACCATGGAGCTGAGGTTCCTGTGGCTTCCACACCAATCACAGCACAGTCCTGAGGTCACCTGGCTCCTGGGTGATGGTGGCCTCAGGGACACGCCCCCCCCCCCCCCCCCGCCCCCCCCCCGGACACTTCACTCTGCGTGAATTTCCTTCTTCCCCGGCTGCTCCTGCTCAGTTTGTTTGTCCCCTTGAGTGCTGGCCCGAGCCAAGGGCGGTGGGAGAGGCAGACGGGCGCCTGGGGCTGACGCCAGGCCCTGGGCCCCCAACCTGGCCGCTGGCCCAGTGGGAAACAGCGGATGGCTTCAAACGGGGAAGCAACACACCTGTCACACGAACCGTTCAGAAGGATCATCTGGCTCCGGAGGGCAGCACGTGGGTGGTTCAGGGCGAGCTCCGTGGAAAGAAGGGCCGGTGGGAAGCTGAGTAGTTCTCGGCCGCGGGAACGATGTGGGGAAATCTGGGAGAGGTGCCCTCGGGGAGCATGGCAGGAAGAGCCAGAGAACCCAGAAGAGAGTGGGTGTCCCAGCATCAAGAGGGGTGGAGGGGAGGGGGACAGAGGAGACTGACGTGTGGAAGAGCAGACCGGAGGGGACTTTTAACCACACGAAAGAGGCTGTGAGAATGACTTGGAGGAGGGACCAGAGGTTGGCATCATTCAGAGAATCCCGGGCAGCTGCAGAGAGCATGAACCCGGGAGACCAGCGCTGGGGGCCACTCAGGACACTGCTGCTGCCGCTGACCGAGAAAAGCTGAGAGTGGCCACCCCAGAGCAGCCAGGTCCTAGGGAAACGTAGGAGGTGGGCACTTCAGACCTGCAAATTGAAGGGGCACCACATGGAACAGAAGGGCCAAGGACTCGTCTTAGGACAACCTTGGGGCTGGGTGGTGCCCTTTCCTGAAATGGAAAAAAATAAATAAAACGTGGCAGCTGAGGGCAGTTTAGGAGAGGAGTTGACTAACTTCATCTTCAAGCTCCAGAGAGGAAATATTCTAGAATCTACGGGCCACATATTCTCTACACTCCACTCTGCTGTCCTAGCGCCAAATAGGCCACAGACAATAGGTAAGGGAATGCGCGTGACTTTTCCAATGAACCTTTATTTACAAACGGAGAAGGCAGGTGGGATTTGGCCCCTGTTGCTGGTCCTTGAGTTAAGACAGGTTACATTGCAGGTGCCTGTTCTAGATTCAAGAGAAATGCATCTGAGCTTCAGAGAGAGGTTTAGGCTGCAGAAACTGTCCTGGGTGCATCCGCATATGGATGGCTCTCCAAGGTGTGCAGGAGATCCCGGGAGAGGAGAGAGCAGGAGGCCAAGGGTCAGGCTTTGAGGACAAGGAAGCCTTAAAGGGGTCTGGAGAGGGATCTTCTTGAGCAGGAGGAAGCACACCTAGAGAGTGGAGCCCCCGGGGGTCAAGTCGAGCACCCGTCTGGGTCACCCTCCACAGAGAGCCCCCATGGTGCAAGGGCCAATGTGCACCAGCTGCACCTAAACAAATGGCTGCTTCCTGGCACGAGGGGTCCGGTGCAGGAGAGGGACAAAATCCAGGTTAACATAGATCCTGGAGGGCTCTGGGCATTGGGGAGGTGCAGATCGCAAATCTGTGGTCAACTCTAAGAGGACTGTGAAGGAAAATGGAATGAAGGGTGTTTTTGTTTTTGTTTTTTAAGTGAGAGGTTTGTTTAAACACTAGTAAGGAGAGAGAAACCTGTCAGGGCCCCAGGAAAGAGAGGCATGGGTGATAGATGTCTCGACCACTAACTGCCACGTTCCCTGGGCCTTGGATTTACTGCCACATCCTAATCCATACAGTGGAAATAATAATAGGAGCCACCGCATCAGGCCGGCATGAGACAAACGAGCTGACGTGTGTACATTGCTCAGTGCACAGCGATAAACTGCAATAAATATCAGCATCCTTCCCCATGGCTCCCCACGGGAGCACGTCTGAAGGGGTGGGAACCCCAGCTGAAGGATTCCCAGCTTCTCAGGCAGCCCTGGTGACCCAGGAGCATCATAAACTTTACTTTATCCTGCTCTTCTGTGAAGATCTAAATAAATGTTTGTTTGTTTTAAATCAGTGGAAAAGCAGGAAAATAAGGTCAGTCTACCCAGGGCTTAGTGGAAGCTCGAGAGGCAGGATTTTTATGAGAGTTCAATCCCCCTGGGTCTCTCCATCAGTGAGTGACTGCCCTATGAGTGGCCTAAGGTCTCCCTGACCCACATTTTCCCAGGGGAGAGGAACGAACCCTTTGTAGCCTAATTAATTTTTTAGGGGGTACTAGGATTGAACTTAGGGTTGTTTAAACCCTGACCAACATCCTCATCCTCCCACTTTTTGAAAAATTTAAGATAGGGTCTCGCTGAGTTGCTTAGAGCCTTGCTAATTTGCTGAGGCTGGCTTCAAACTTGTAATCCTCCTGCCTCAGCCTCCTGAGCCACTGGGATTACAGGCATGCGTTACTGTGCCTGGCTGCACCCTGAATTTTCATTGGGGGTTAGAGTGGGAAGGATCTACGGTGGTTTAATAGTATCCCCCACACCACTCCACCATATTCCTGTCTCCCCGGGATCTTTAGAATGTGACCTTACTTGGAAATAAGGGTTAACAGAAGTAAGTGAGGATCAAGGAAAGGTCATACTGCATCAGAACAGGTCCTAAATATGATGAATGTGTGCTCATAAGACCAGGAGAGGACCCACAGAGAGAGCCATCCAGTACAGGAAGCCATGTGAAGACAGAGGTAGAGATTGGAGCAAAGTAGCCAAGGAAAGCCAAGGATTGCCAGGAGCTCTAGGGAGCCGGAGAAAGGAAGGAAGGACTCTTCCCCACAGCCTTGGGAGGGAACACGGCAGACACCTCAGTTACAGACTTCTGGCCTCCAGAAATGGGAGAGGATGGGTTTATCGTGTAAGCCACCCAGTTAGAGGTAATTTTGTTACAGCAGCTGGAGAATACTCATACGTTCTATCTCCATGCTTAGTATAGGGCACCAAAGAAGGACATGGCGTCCTCTGATTCTGGTGACACTGGTTGGAGCCTCTTCAGCATCAGAATGTCAGGAAGAAGTGTGTGAGCAAAGCCTGGACTGAGGTAGAAACACATCTGAGACAGATTGGGAGGCCCAAGGTGGGAGGCCTGCAGGAGGGTCCATCAAACCAAAGACTGGAGGTCAACTCCAACGCTGCTGTGACTAGAAACCCGCAGATTTATTGTGAGTCCCAAATACTTTGAAAATGGTACCCATTCATGGTCCAAGAATGTTACTTCTAAGTGTCCCCTTAAGGAAAAACCCCAAATTCAGACGATTTGTCTCCTCAGGATATTTATCGTTACATCATTTTACAACATCGAAAAAGCTGGAAACAGTCTAAATGCCCAAGGGTGAGGAAATGGTGAGATAAATGACGGTATATCCACGAGATGGATTACTAAGCGGCCAGTATAAATATGTATGAAGAGCATTTAATGTTTACAAAGAGCTTTCAATGAAGCGGGGGATCCGTCGCCACATAATGACCTGTGGCAAAAACACTGGTTCTAAAATGGTAGAATACGGTGCCGAGCATGAGAAAAAAAGAAATATATAAAAAAGACAAGGAAACATGCCAAAATACTAGATGTCTCCATGGAGGGATCATGGATGCTTAAAACAAACAAACAAACAAACAAAAAAAGTCTTTATATTTTCTGTACTTTTAAAATGATTTACTATGTACATCAATCACTTCCATAATCAAGGGGAAAAAATTAAAGCATTTAAAAAGCGGTGTACGTGGTTTCCATTTTATTTTCTCTGATGGATGACGGAACATCAGCGAACCTTGAGTTACACTAACTACTAAGGCCGGTCACGACACACATACACGGACAGAGAGGTCACACGGGCTGTGCCGGGCTGGCTATAGCAAATGTACATCAAGTTGGACAGGTGGAATTGTTAGGCTGGTTCAAATACGCCACCAGAGGATGGGACACGGCTGGGTCACGCTGTCTCTCCCGCCTGTCAGCGTTCTTGATGGAGGTCTGGGTGTTGGGCTGGTGTGGTGACATCCCACTGGCACTCCTGCAGTGGCCCCCCGGTGGGTAACGAGCGTCTGGGTCAACGTCTGTTCTGGGTCCCCTTCCGTCTGTCCTGGCCTTGGCCTTGGATTCCCCTCTTTCTTCCAAGCACTGGATCAGCTGCTGCCCAGACCTGTCCCCACTCAGCTCCATGCCCCTGGGCCACACATGGCAAGTAAAAGAAGAGCCAAGAGCACAGTGGACACCCTCCCGATGTGAACTGGGCCCGGACACAGGATGGGAGGAAGCAGGAGATGTGACCACAGCGTGGCACACAAGCTCAAGTCTTTAACAGACAGGCCATCGGCCTCCAAGAACGTGACACTGATGGTGCCTGAGAGATGCATGGGCTACGTGTAGGGCCCTCCAGTGGGGGGCACGGTCCCTGGGAGAGGACAGACGGGGGATGGGACCTGTGCCTATTTGGGGCAGGCCTGACAGCAGAGCTAGGAGGGTGGAAGGGGAGGTGTCCAATACGGTGCTAGATTGTTGAGAAGTCACAACTATACACACCTGGGGACCGATGCCCCTCTCCCAGATGATTTGCACAGTGGGTTAGATACAGCTAAATAGAAGTGGAGATAAACTTTTCTGAGGGAGGACCTTCCTGGTGGTTGGATAATTGGTGAGGCAGACTCCTGGGTTCGGCATGCTCTGGGGAGGGCCATGCGACGGTGAGGGACTCCCTATTGCTACACTCTGTACAGGGCGGCCGGCCCGCCTGCCGCGCCCATGGCCCCTGGCGGCAGTCACAGGCTTGCCTTCAACCCCTTCCGGAAGCCTTGGAGAGCTCTTAGGCCCCGGTGAAATGGGGGCTATGACGACAAGAGGGTGGGAGGGGGGTCCCCGTGGCCCCGGGGCACCCTGTGTGGGGGCTACATGATGTTGCACTGGGTGGCCCCGCAGCAATCCTTGATGAGTGCCAGCCCAGTCTTGGCCACCGTGGGCTTGCTAGGTGGGGGCTCTGCTTTCTTCTCTGCCCGGGAGCCTGCAGCAAAGTAGAAGCACAGAGGGAGAGAGGGAGAGGTGAGGCAAGGGGAGCCCTGAGCACCGGCAGCCCCAGCCCACCCCAAGCCCAGGCCAGGCCTTGCTCAGGTGATATGGAGAGCTGCTGTGCATTATATATGGGCCAGTGTCTGGTCCCACTTCCCTCTGGGCCCGCTGGCTTCCAGCTCTCAGCTTCCAACCACAGCCCTCTCCTAGCCACCATTGTAAATGCCAAGCCTCACCCATGACCTGGCATTCAATCTGAGGGGTCACATCTTTCAAATCTGGAAAATGATCCTATATTTTCAGATACCCACCCCCACGTTGGCTGCTTCCTCTCCTTCTGGATTGCCTACTAGATAGAATCGGACCTTCTCATTCTATCCTCTCTGATTCATGGCCTCTCATATTTTACAACTTTTTCTGTTTATGCTGGGTAATTTCCTCAGGTCTGCTTTCCAGTTTATGAGCTGTACCTTCAACTGTGTCTCTATATTTAGTCCATTGAGTTTTTACTTTGACAATTTTTTTTTAAAGGGTAATTTTTTGAAAATCAATCAATTCTTTTTTCATAGCATCCTGCTTTTTAGCTTTGGTTTCATTCCTTATCTCTAATCATTTAAATGTATGTATTGTCTCTTTAAAATAGTTGTTATATCTGGTTCTTGGGAGAGCATTCTCTTTGTTGCATCCACTGATTTTCCTCACAGTGGTAGAGTTTTATTTTATTTTGTGTGTGTATTTGTGTGTGTGTGTGTGTGTGTGTGTTTTGTACTGGAGATTGACCCCAGAGCAGTTAGCCATTGACTCATATCTCACCTTTCTTTATTTTTTCATTTTGAGACCAGATCTTTCTAAGTTACATAGGGCCTCACTAAATTGCTGAGGCTGACTTTGAACTTGTGATCCTCCAGCCTCAGCCTCCCAAACCCCTGGGATTACAGGCGTGCACCACCACACCCAGCTTCACGGTGGTACAATTCATGTTGGGTTTTGATATTTACTGAGAGCTCCTCTTGGTGGGAGTCGTTTTTCTCCAGGGTAGTGCTGTGTGTCAGGGGATGCAGAAGACTCACTGATCAGTTCTGCATTTGCTCTTGCTAGGGCCCCAGAGATTTCACTGGTTTTCAATTTGCTTTTATTTTTCAATCTGGGATTTCAGCACCAGATGAGTATTGTGGGCCCACACTTCACCCCTTGCTTATGGTGTGGGCTGGGTGTTTTGATTTCTTACTGAGACCATTTCTTTGTTCTATCCCTAACCTCACACAGAAGGAAGGTTTTCTTGCTCCTTCTCCATATTGTTGAGTGGAGTTTTTCTATTTTGCCTTTTTTAGAAGAGTCCGTCCCTCGAGGATGCCGGCTTCAGGCAGGGATCACGTACCTTGTGGTCTTAGGAATCAATAGAAGAGAAGACAGATTCCCTCCCTTCCTCTGCCTTTTTTTCTTATGGTGCTTGGAATTGAACCCACTGAGCTCTTTTCATTTTTATTTTTTTGAGACGGGGTCTTGCTAAGTCACCCAGGCTGGCCTCCAACTTGTGATCCTCCTGCCTCAGCTTCCCAAGTAGCTGAGATTATAGGTGTGAGCCACCACAGCCAGGAGGTAACAGATGTTCTCCCAGGAGGTAACAGATGGCAAAGTAAACTGGGTTTGTGTCTCTAAACATGGTGCAGCTTTTGGTTTTTGTATTCCCAACATGATTCCAGCCCTGACCCTGGTAACAGCTCCTGTCTCTGTGGCTGCTGGAGGGGGAGGGCACGTGACACAGACCTGGCCAATCAGGGTACCCCAACCTCTCCATAACAGTCACGGGTCTCAGAGATGGGAACCGAATCTAAGGGAGACCAGAGTCTTCCCCTGAGATTTGTGTATTAAAATACCAGGAGAACAGACCTGGCATCGCCTCGGAGCTGCCAACCCATGGTTCTGGGATTCTGACCCATGGAGAAGGGGTGTGTACTAGGGGGACATGAAGTTAGCATGCCAAGAAGGGCAGAGATGAGAAATGGAAGGAGAGTGGGGGAATGCTGACAGTGTCCTCTCTCTGACACCCTGTTTCTTGTCACTCTTCCTCCAACAAGTCCTCTTTTTTGCTTAGACCAGATCGAGCTGAGCATCGTTTCTTATAACTGAAGGAGGCCCTTGAATTCAGCAGTGGGACGCCTCTGAGAAACACAGAGCCAACAAAGAAAGAGAAGACAGCTCCTCGACAGGAGGAGCCAGCATCACTTTAATTTCCTGGTGGACACTGGTTCCCCCAAATCGAGGGTCCACCTTGCGGCATTTCCCAGGCTTATTTCACAAAAACCCTTTTGCTCTAGGTCTTTCGTTAAGGCTCGTATTCTGAGAAGTGCTTCTGGCCCTCCGGAGATCCCAGCCCTGACGGGCCAGAGTTCCCGGGGCCTCACCAAACCATGTGACCAGGGAAGGACCACTGCTGGGGTAGAACGTGGGCCTGGGGAATTGGATTGCAAGAAAGCTTTTTTGCTGTGCCCTCTGGTCCCAGATCTCTCTGAAATATCCTTCCCTCTCTCTGGTGGGGGAAGAGGAGGAATGGTGAATGCACTCACTGGCTGGAGATTTGGCTACTTTGTCTAGAGGTTTTAACTTGATTCTCAGGAAATCGGCCATTTCCTTGTCTTCTTCTTGCTCCCTGGGAAGGCAGATGTGCAAAAGAGAGAACAGAGTGAGCGAGGAAACATCTAGGCGCCAAGGGAAGGGGGCGCGAGGTGCTAAACGCGTGGGGCCGGGGGTAGGGCTTTGCGGACGGTACCCACGTGTTGTGTGCTCTGTGTGTGGCGCGTGGGGATCGTGCGCGTTGAACTGCTCTGAACCAGAGACGTGTGGACAGTGGGTGAATACAGATGCAGAGCTAGGGGTGAGAGCCCAGAGCAGAGATGGACATGACCGGACCCAGCTACCCGGCTGGGGGTTCAGTGAGCTGGGCAACATCTCTCCTGACCCTGTACCTTCAAGCCACCCCTGTCACCTGTGCTCCCACAGGTGTGTGGCAGGTCTTAGAGAAAGTCACCTCAGCTCATCAAGGTCACCAGGAATAAAGTCGATGGTCCCAGCCCAGCTGAGCAAGGCAAGGCCTATCCTAGGGGCCTTATAGAGAGACCTCAGGGGACACAGAATAAAGAGTTGCCCTCCTCAAAGAGAGAGACTCCAAAGGCTTTGTTTGGAGACAAAAATTTTTTTTTTTTTTAATATTTATTTTTCAGTTTTTGGCGGACACAACATCATTGTTTGTATGTGGTGCTGAGGATCGAACCCGGGCCGCACGCATGCCAGGCGAGCGCGCTACCGCTTGAGCCACATCCCCAGCCCAGACAAAAAATTTTTAAGAATCAACATTCTCGGCGTTTTCTATGCCCAGACTCCTCAGGAACCTTCCAGACCCCTGGGCCTATGGTCGTCCGGGTCAAACTGGCCAGTAGGAATGGGTATAAAAGGGCCTTGGAGCCACTGAGGAGAAGGGACGGAAACAAGGCAATATAGGGGCAGAGTTTCTGTGGATACTGACAGGAGAAGTTTCTAGAAGTTTCCTTGATGAGTTGGGAAACTATGTAGGGAGCTCTGTCATTTGTTATGTGATGCCATCTCCCCGCCCCAGGGCACCTCCCGAAATGACGTTCACCTCAGACACACAGGACTTTGCAAGACGTTGGGGGGCTGGCTTGGAGTTCTATTAAGTGGGAAGCGGGTCCTCAGGCCCGAAGGCTGGGATTCATTTGGGGTCAGTGACTGGGGAGCCTGGTGGAGGCCGTGTGGGTGTTGGGCAAGGCAGGGCCTCTCGGGAGCAGAGCGTGGGTTTTGAGGGGGAGGAGGAGGCTGGGGTCTGGTGGCCGCAGGCCTGAGGATGTGTCCCCACTCACCTTAGCCGCTCCACCTCCGCGTCGTCCACGAGGAAGTCTCTCTTCTGCACGAGTCTGTGGATCTTCTGGATCAGCTCATCCTCTCTCTGTTTCTGCAGCTTGGTTTTTTCTTCTTCTGGGAAGAACAAAGCATCAGTAAAGAAACAGCTGAGGACAACCCCTCGAAGCCCTTGAGTCCGAGGGGCTGGGTCAGGGTCCTGGCTCTGCCAGTTCACTCGCTGTGTGAACCTGAAGAAGCAACGTGGCCTCTTCACGTCTCGGTTTCCTCATCTGTAAAATACACACGGCATCAGGCTCAAAAAGGCGGCAGATATCAGTGTGTGACTTGGAGAGCACTCAGAACATGGTGGTGACCCCGCAAGGGGGATCTGCAGAAGACAGAGGGGGACAAAGCGCTGGCCGGGGTTTGGGTGGGGGGCTGTTCAGGAGGGACGTGCTGTGTGGTGTGGGTGAACCAGTTTCTCAGGGGAAAAAAAAAAAAAAAAAAGATTGTCCATGCTGATAACATTAGCCTGTCCCAAAGACCCAGGGCCAGGAGGACAAGGAAAGACAGGCTGAAGGTCAGAACAGAAGGAAGCTCAGAGGCAAAAATCCTAAACCCACTTCCAGCTCTTTCTGCTCAAATCCGTTCAGAATGAAAAAAAAAAAAAAATGCAGGCAGCTTGTCCATCTGCCCACTTAGGGGCACTGACGGCCTTCAGATCTGGAAGCAGAACTGCAGGTGAGAATAGAGTCATCCTTTGGAATCTATGCAGGGTTGGTATCAGTTACCCCCCTGCAGATACCAAAACCCAAGGATGCACAGGTCCTTTGTGTGCAATGGCACCCTCTGCACACCCTCCCGTAGACTCTAAGCCATCTCTAGGTCACTTATGATGCCTGATCCAATGTCAGTGCTATGGAAATAGTTTTGTTACACTATTGTTTAGGAAATAACACCAAGAAAGAAGGTCTGTACAATGTTCAGTACAGAGACAATGTTCCCCCCCCCCGTCCCCGCCCCCTGCAGTTTTAAAAATCTATGGTTGGTTGAATCCATGGATCTGGAACCCACAGATCCATACGTCTGAATGGTTGGTTTGTCTCATTAACCAAAAGGCCACCAACCAGCTCATGAAGAAGCGCAGTGGAATTTTGAGCAGTCCCCAGTTCCTGATGACCAGGGCATTGCTCTGACCAAGGTGGGGCTTGTGAGTCTGATTCCCCAAATCACTTCTCAGCACCACAACGTCCTCCCTGGTACCTCTAAGCCAGGGCCAGTGGCTTCCCTCTCCCAGAAGTCATAGCATCTAAAAATGTCTCCAGACCTTGCCAAACATCCATTGGGGAGCAAACCCTCCCCCCAGTTGAGAACCATTTCCAACAACCCTGTGAAGGTGACACTATTTTCACGTCCACTGCCACACCTCAGCATGCCCCGCTCTCAGGACGCAGGGGTGGCAGCGGAGGTGGTGTGAGACTTTGGACCTGGGCTGTTGTCCAATCAGACTTCCTCGACTATTATTTTCATTATTGGCAAATTATTTTCTGACCTTGGCTCAAAAAAAGCATGATTTTATTGGCTGTTTACTCTCCACTGAATACTTTATGGTCACTGTGTTGCTAAGAACATTCATTTTTCTTCTCCTAAATGCAGCTACATCCATCTAGCAACCTGTCAGTGGCCCAGGGAATCAGAGAAAGACACCCAGCAAGGAGGATGGAGGGGAAGGGGGTGGGGGGAGGAGGCCTGGGAAAGCAGGAGAGGAGGAGGCTCCAGATTTCTGCACAGAAGTCACAGGAAGAAGCAGTTTGCAGGGGAAATCAGTGGGGCTGGGGTAGGGCCCGGGGCTCTGTGGCTCTTGAGCCCTGGACCTGGTTTGAGTTGTGTTCTCAGCGGGGACATGGGTGGCGTGTCACTCCAGCAGGATGCATTTTCCAGTGGGCCTATGGCATCCAGGTCCCGGGCTGCAGGCTCCCTGGCCTCTGCCCGTGGGATGTCACCACCAATCCTGTCTACACTTTTGATATTTGGCTCATCATGAATTTTCCTTGGCATGCATTTAAAATATTTATCATGCCTGCTGAGTTTGGGGAGCTCCTTTGAAGTATCTTGTTCTCCTTGCCCTCCATCTGGCCCTGGTCACCAGCTGCCCCAGTCACTGTCAACCAAAAAGTGCCATATCCATGCCTGCTCTGGAGGCCACCACAGCCCCCGGTAGCCTTGGTGGACTCCATGGTCACACACTCATGCCTCCTTGGCCTTGGTGGGATCCCATGTGTCCTGCTGAGCTAACAATGGGCCCTGGGAGGACACGGTCACCCAAATGCAACTCCAAGGAGGTGGAAATTGGAACCCAGAAGCCCCGAGAGTCGGGTGGTTACATAGGGAGGTCAGGAAAGGGAGGTGGAGGGGCCTTGCCTGGCTCGGGTGCTACAGGGGGAAAACAGGATTTGTACCCAAAATTGAATTTTGTACCCAAAATGGGAGTTGGTGGCCAAGAACATTCCACTGGCTTCCAGGTTTCAGGCCCTTGTGAGGCTGGAGTTAGTAGAATATGCCCCCACCCCCATGGATAAGTTCATGTCTACTCTAATGGGAAATAGGTCCTCTCAAATATTCATATCCACCCTATGCAGAAATAGCCTATTTCCAAAGTAATTTGAAAATCACTTGGCAGATGGGATTAGTGAAGCTAAAATTAAGTTATACTCATTAGAGTGGACTCTCTGTCGTCTAGTGACCAGTGTCCTCGGGAAGAGCAGACATCAGAGGCAGGCTGGGATGATGCAGCTGTGAGCCAAGGACTGAGAGGGACCATCAGATGGTGGAAGAGACGGAGACTCTCCTCTAAAGCCTTTGGAGACAGCGCGGCCTGTCGGCACCTGGATATCAGACTTCTGGCCTCCAGAAGTCTAAGAAAATTCACCTCTGGTTGTTGTAAGTCACCAGAGTAGTGGGGATTTGTTCTGGGAACCACACAAAATAAATTCAGCGTGTGAGGGCTCCAGGAGACGTCCTCGTCCTCGTAGTGACTGAGGGCTTTGTGTTCACATAACCCCGGATGGGTCTCTGCACCTTTCCACCAAATTCCACCTGGAAGAGCTAGAAGAGTGCCACCAGCCTGGTGGCTGTCACCCCTGGCTGGTCATCACGATCATGTGGAAGGTACCCCCACTACCCCCTAGTCCTTGGGGTTGAACCCAGGGGTGCTCCGCCACTGAGCCACATCCCCAGCCCTTTTCATTTTATTTCAAGACGGGGTCTCACGGGGTTACTCAGGCTGGCTTAGAAACTTGTGACCCTCCTGCCTCAGCCTCCCCAGCCACCAGGATTACTGGCATGTGCCCCCTTGCCTGACTAGAAAGCTTTTCAAAATTACCAGGTCCCGCACCTGACCAAATGAATCAGAATTTCTAGTGGTGACCGGACTATAGTATTTTTTTCCCCATTTATTTATGGTTTAATTTTAATGCTTAACTGGTTTTGGTGATTTTTATTGGGATATAATTCACACACCATGGAGTTGACCCCTTTCAATTAGGACAGTGGGCTCAGTGGTTTATCCCCAGAGCCCCACACATGCTAGGCAAGTGCTCTACCCCTGAGCCACAACCCCATCCCATAACCACTATCTTCTACTTGTTCCCAAGCAGAATAATGATGATAGTAATTGCTAATATTTATTGGACGGTTTGGGCCACATATCAAGCTAAGCGTTTGGTCTGCAACGTACCTTTGTCACGGTGACATTTACAGTTAGTGAATCAGGTACTATTACTGTTGTTATATTCTGTTTTCAGAGAGACACTGAGTCTCAGAGAGGTGACTTTCCCAGGGTCCAAACGTGGCCAGGCCTGGCCGACTTGAACTTGTACTTGGACCCCGTGTTCAGGGTGCTTCACTGCAAGAGTGAAGCCAAGGCTCGGAGGAGAGATGAACTCGTCTCCCAGACCTCGGGGTGCAGATGGAGCCGCCCCGGGGGGGGGCCCCCAAGCAGCTGCTAGCAGGGAGTGAGGCCGCGCGCGTGGTTACCTGGGATGGCGACCAAGTTCTGCAGCTCCTGCTTGAGGTCCATGATGTCCTTGCAGAGCTGAATGTCATCCATCCTGGGGAAACAAGGCCACATCAACAGAACATGCCCCCAGCGTCACCCCGCTTGAGCAAAGAGGGCCTGTGGGAGGGGGCCCTCCCCCACAGCCCGTGGGTGCTTGGTGGTCACTTTGGGTGTCGACCTGACTGGGTTGAGGATGCCTCAGGGGCTGGTGAAGCGCAGTTTCTGGATGAGTCCAGGAGGGCTCTCCAGAGGAGCCTGGCCTGTCCATCCCTGGACTGTGTGGGAGGAACCAGCCTCAGTGTGGCCGGGAGCCCAGATGGAGAAGGCAAGGAGAAGGTCCTGGGGGGGGGGTGTTCTCCCTGCTTTTCTGTCGCCCTCCCTCCTCTTGGTTCTGTCTCTCTGGAGAACCCAGACTTATACACACGGCCATGGTAGAAGGTGGCCCTCACGAGGAGCCTTCCAACCACTGCCCGTTATCCCACCGCTCAGCAACGATCTGTCCCTGTGAATGACGCCGGGATCCTGTGCTTTTGGTCTCCTTGTGCCTGTTGTGCTGTTGGGCAGGAGCTCCTCTGTTGCAGGCTCAGGTGGTTTTATACTTTTATTTTTTTTTTCTGTTGATTTACTTTCAGCAATTCTAAGCAGGCCAGGTGTGGTGGTGCAGGCCTGTAATCCCAGCAACTCGGGAGGCTGAGGCAGGAGGATCACAAGTTCAAGGCCAGTGAGAGCAACTTATCAAGAAACCTATCTCAAAATAATAATAATAATAATAATAATAATAATAATAATAATAATAATGGGCTGGGGGTATAGCTCAGTGATAAAGGGCCCCTAGATTCAATCCCTCATACCAAAGGGGGAAAAAAAAAAACTTGAGCATTACAAAAATTCACAGCACAGAGAAAATCTCGCTAATCCTTTAGCGAAAGTATTGCTAACAGTTTGATGTATATCTCTTGTGATTTTTTTTTCTCTTTTTTTTTTTTGGCGGGGGCGGGGGGGGGGGGGCGGACCATGGATTGAACTCAGGGGCACTCTACCACTGAGCCACATCCGGGTCTCCCTGAGTTGCTTAGCGCCTCGCTTTTGCTGAGGCTGGCTTTGAACCCGCGATCCTCCTACCTCAGCCTCCCAAGCCACTGCGATTACAGGCATGCGCCACTGCACCCAGCTCTCCTAATTTTTAAAATGCTTATGCTGCCATATGTGACACCATTATTATTATACAAAAATATTTTGGCAATCTGCTTTTTTGGCTTTTTCTTTCTTTTTTTTTTACTTAATAATATATCTGGGCATTTTTCCCTGTCAGTTCATGCAAATATATTCATTTTTAATGAATGCAGTATATTCTATTATGTTGATATACAGTGATTTATTTAACTAGTTTTGTATGCATAGACTTCTGGGTATTTATCTGATACATCTCAATGATAAACTCTCAGAAATGCAATTGCTTAGTCAAGTGACATGAACACTTATATTTTAATAGAATATTCCAAATTGTGCCCCAGGGACATTGTACATATTCCCACCGAAGGTGTGTTGGGGAAGGGTGCTTACTCCTATAATCTCAGTAATTGGGTTACAGTCACAGTTGTTCCTTATGCATGATAGTTTGTTGTGTATGCTATAAAAGTCAGCTTGTCTTACTATAAATAATATTGTAATGGCTGCCTGGAACTTCACCATGTCGATTCACAAGGGCTGTGTTCACTACATCCATATCTGATTACAGGGTGGGTTTTCAGGTGGCTTGTGCTATTTCAGGATAAATGTTAGTTAGTGTGAAGATTTTTCTTCTCATTGGCTTATTTGGGGAGGGGATGCTTAGAGTCTCAGAAGTGGAACCATTAAGTACAAATGGCCTGATTAGGTCTGTGGCAGTTGAGATCTATTTTCTAACCGCTTCCCTAAGGGTGTATATGTGGACATCCCCTCTGCACATCTTTAATGAGCATCTTCTGACATTGTCCTGGGCTTGGGGATACATCAGCAAGCACAAACAAGACCCTCATAAAGCTGCCCCTTAGGCAGCTGAGATAGAAGGGACACCCAGATAGTCAATCCCTCAGTCTCCATAGGGGATTCCCTCTAGGGTCCCCGAAATCCGGGATGCTCAAATCCTGTACATAAAATGGCTTAGTATTTGTCTAGACCCTTCACACATTCTCTTCTAGACTTTAAATCATCTCTTGATTACTTTTAATACCTAACGCAACAAATGCTATGCACCCAGTTAGAGATGGACACAATGTTTTTATTTGACTTTATGTGGTGCTGAGGATCGAACCCAGGGCCTCACGCATGCTCGGCGAGTGCTCTACCACTGAGCCACAGCCCCAGCCCGAGAGGGATTGTTAAGACTGTTATTTTAGTGATGTGGAAACAGGTCAAGAGTCTCAGCAGGTCCCTCCTGTTAGTGGGAACGGGGCCAGGACTAGAGATGGACTTCAGAGTCCAGCCTGAGTTGGCTGATCTGTCTGCAGCGTCTTCAAAAGAGCTCCACCTGCTGGCTCCTTTCCATAGTGCAGTCCACCGCCAGCATCCAGGGCCCTGCCCTTTGAGGGTCAGGAAGTGCCCATGGTCTTCCAATCCGTCTTTCAGGACCAGAGCCAGGGTGTCCTGCTGCAGCTCACATCTCGGCTGCCATCGGCACCCCAGACATTTTTCCAGCCCCGCCCCAGAATGTCTCACAGGTGGCAGGCACCCCAGGTGAGTGAGCTTGGGCTTGCCAGAGGCACGGGCTGTTCCTGCTGGTGATCATTCACCTGGAGGGATTCCGAATCCTTCTTCACACCCACATAGGGATCAGGCTGCTGGGTGGTTCTCAGCGAGGGCGATTTTGGTCCCCGAGGACAAATGTCATGTCTGAAGACGTTTTTGGTTATTCCAACTGGGTGTGTGCGTGGGTGGGGGCTGCTCCTGGCATCCAGTGGGAAGAGTCCAAAGATGGCGCTAAACACCCTACAGTGCCCAGGACAACCCCTGGTCGACAATGATCCCTTTCAATATGTCAATCATGCTGAACTTGAGAACCCTTGGGTTACAACCCAGAATTGACAGAGATAGCTTTATCAAAAATTCTTGAAACATGAGAGGGGAGAAGATGGAGAGAGAGAGAGAGAGAGAGAGAGAGAGAGAGAGAGAATCTCCAACAACCAAATGAGTTCAGGGAGGGAAGGAGTATGACCTGTGAGCTGTCCATTCTTCTTTATGGCCTTTCATGCTGGGACAATGGTGGAAAATTGGCCATTTGACCAGCTTTGGAGATGTGGCAGGCCCTGTCGGAATAGAAGTGCTGCTGATTTACAAAATTTCTTTGAAAGTGACCCGGTCTGCAGCTAGAGTTAGTTGTAGTCTAATGGAAGCCCCCAGGGACGGCGATGGGAAGGCCAAAGCAGACTGTCAGAGGAAAGGGTTGACTTTTTAAAATAGTCAACTTATTTGGCTCCTTTTCTGTAAGCCGCAGAGGCTGCAGACTTCTCTGGAGGGTAAGAAGCAGAGAACGTAACGTTGACTTTGGAGATGGTTATGTTTGGATGTGAGGTGTCCCCCAGAGCTCCTGTGTGAGACAATGCAAGGAGGTTCAGGGGTGAAATGGCGGGGATGAGAGCCTTGACCTAATCAGTGGATCAGTCCCCTGATAGGGATTAACTGGGTGGTGACTCTAGGCAGGGGGTGTGTGGCTGGAGGAGGTGGGTCCCTGGAGCTGTGCCTTGGGGTATGTATTTTGTCCGTGTTGAGCAGTGCTCTCTGTTTCCCGAGGGTCCCGTCCTGAGCCTTTCCTCCAATACTCCTCCACCATGATGTTCTGCCTCACCCAGAGCCCAAAGAGTGGAGTCAGCCATCTATGGACTAAGACCTCTGAAAACATGAGCCCCCAAATCAACTTTTCCTCCTCTAATTGTTCTTGTCAGTTCTTTTGGTCACAGCAGGAGAAGAAAAAAATAAGATGGATCACTGATCTGGGATTTGGAGCTCAGGTCCAAGTCCAAACGCTCCGTGATTCTGGGAAAGTCTCTGGACCTCTGTTTCTTCATGAGTAAAGTGAGGGGTTTCGGTGATCCCTAGAGCCCTGTTCTTCCAGTACAGAGAGGACTTGCTTTGCATCCCCCCGGATCTGAGGGTAGGTCTCAGTTCCACCATTGACTGTGAACTATCTCAGCGTCAGAGCCGTCACAGGTGAAAAGGAAAAACACCTTCACCTGGGGTCCTGTGAGCATTGACTGGGAAGCCGGGATTGGCCCACGTGGAGCGGGTGTGTAGGAAAGGCCACTTCCGTCCACCCCTCTGCCCTGGGTGGGAGGGAGCAGCTAGGCTGAGTCACTCCTGTCGCCCGGCGGCAGAGGACGTGGCTCACCTTCACCCAGGGCCAGATAATGAACGTGTTCCTTGGCTCCACTGGGTTCCTGAGCTTAAGTGCGGTCCCCAGGGCAGCCTAAGTGTCGAGAAGTCCCCAGGGAGCCCCGGAGCTGGGCTATCTCTCAACATCACACTGGAGACCAAGGGACCAGAGAGGTGGCTGCCAGTGGGCTCAGGGGACACACCTAAGAAAGAAAAGCCCTGGGGATGCGTCTTGGAAAGCCACGCTACCGGTCGCCTCTCAGTGGCTCATTGAATAACCAGAGTGTCAACCTCCATCCATAGGGTCCCTCAGCTGCCATCAGACCCTCATTCTTGGATGTGAGGCTCAGTCCCCAAAAGTATGTCACCTCCCTCCAGCACAGTGTACTCTTCTCCTCCAAGAATGTTCTAGACTGTCTTAGTTTTTCGATCCTTTCTCTTTCAGCAGTGCTGATGGTGGGACCCTGGGCCTTGTGCCAGGCAAGTGGCAGCTCAGCGGAGGGCTGACCATCCAAGGAGGACTGAGTCCCTCCACTTCCAGCCTCTGCGTACCCTATTTTGTGGAATGAAACGCTGTGCCCTTCCAGGATCAATAGTAAAGCCACTGAGAGCTTTTAACAAAATGGCAATGCTCTCCTTTCGCCGTTGAACAGTCATGTCCACTCATTCGTGGGTGACGTGGCTGTTGTCACACTACAATGGCAG